GTCCAGAGAAGAGCAACAAGAATGATTAAAGGTCTAGCGAACATGACCTGTGAAGGAAGGCTGAAGGAATTGGGTTTGTTTAGTTTAGAAAAGAGAAGATTGAGGGGGGACATGATAGCAGTTTTCAGATATCTAAAAGGGTGTCATAAGGAGGAGGGAGAAAACTTGTTCATCTTGGCCTCTGGGGATAGAACAAGAAGCAATGGGCTTAAACTGCAGCAAAGGAGGTTTAGGTTGGACATTAGGAAAAAGTTCCTAACTGTCAGGGTAGTCAAACACTGGAATAAATTGCCCAGGGAGGTTGTGGAATCCCCATCTGTGGAGATATTTAAGAGTAGGTTAGATAAATGTCTATCAGGGATGGTCTAGACAGTATTTGGTCCTGCCATGAGGGCAGGGGACTGGACTCAATGACCTCTCGAGGTCCCTTCCAGTCCTAGTATTCTATGATTCTATGATTTGCATAACGGCATCCGGCTGCTTTCTGCAATACTGCATTTTGAGGAAAAAAAGATTTTTTAAAAAAAGAAATGCTTTTTTTGATATAATACTGAATCCTTAAAAAATTGTGTTTAAGGGTTATTTTGAAGGAAGGATTTCTCTTCGAAATAACCCCTTTTTTTTCTCAAAATACGGTATTTCGGAAAAGCAGCCGGACGCCATTATGCAAATGAAGCGCAGGAAATTCAAATCCATGCTTCATTTGCGATTTTGTTTGTCTGTATTTGCATTCCTCTCTTGAAGGAGGAATGCAATATAGACATACCCTTATAGAGGTACGAATTCCACATGGACACATGCAGGGTTGCTTGTATGAAGAAGTCATTTGTTATGCACTTATTGGGTCAATTTACTCTGTATTAGGAATTGTGTGATGACTATTTGTAGAAATGCTTCACATTATGGTTAGTCTGTGAGCTCCTACTCAGACGAAAACATACTTTTTCTTTGTTTCGTGTGGTTGGCACATGGCCTGTAGACTGGTTTAATGGTGCCCATGGTTTAAATCATTTTGAAGGATATTTTAACACTTTTAATGTAACATTCCAAAGTGCTGCTAGAATTCTGAATGGGATTCATAGTTCATATTCCTCATGACCTTTTTTTGCCTTGTGGGCCCTTTCTTCTTTCTGGACTACATCTCCCACAATGCACCTTGTGGCTCAACAAGAGAGAAAAACATGGTGCCTCAGGGATGATATAGTCATGTTAGGGACCTTGGCTATAGAGGAGAGTGAGCCTTTATATGCAAGTCAGCTGTCCACTGAAACAGTGGCACTTCCCATACTACACTACTCATGATTAGAGATGAGCCTTGACTGAATACCCGTTTCCAGTCCTATCCTGCAGTGTGTGGAGAAGCAGAAGCAAGAAATAGGAATGGAGGACCCATTGTACCCCTATTGGGTTTGTGAATTTGCAAGTCACTAAGGCTATGTCTACACTGGCGCGATCTTGCGCCAGAGTTATGCAAATGAGGCTAAGCATGGAATATCGCCGAGCCTCATTTGCATATCTAATGAGTTCCCATTTTTGCGGAAGAGGCTCTTGCGCAAGAAGGAGCTGTCTCCACTGCCCCTTCTTGTGCAAGAAAAACCCTCTTGTGCAATGCTGTTACGCTGCTTATTTTCAGGCATAATGGCGTTGTGCAAGAGGGTTTTTCTTGCGCAAGAAGGGGCAGTGTAGACAGCTCTTTCTTGTGCAAGAGCCTTTTCTGCAAAAATGGCGGCTCATTAGATATGCAAATGAGGCTCAGTGATATTCCACGCTTAGCCTCATTTGCATAGCTCTGGCGCAAGATCGCACAGTGTAGACATAGCCAAAGAGATTAAAAGAGCTGATGAACAAGAGGGGAGAGAAAATATAACCAAGAAGCAAGAAGAGAAGCAGTCAGAAATAGTAAAAAGGTACTGTGGGGACAGGGAGGAGAAAAGAGAAATAAGATAGAAACTAAAATAAATGATCAAAAGGGGGGGGGAGAATGATTTACGTTATCCTTGTTTAGAAAAGAACTTAAGCAAATTCTTAACTCTAAGCACATCTCAAATCTCATTCACTGTAATGGGACTTAAATCTGTGCTTAAGTGATGAATGAGGACCAAGGGGAGAGATGATCATGAACAAAGTAATTAAACTGTAAAAGACAAAAGACTATTTTTAACATTTAAAATCCTAGCAAAATGTCAAGTCACATGATGTGGCACTAGTAGAACGGAAAGAGTAGAATGCCATCAAAATTTTCTTTGGTCCAAGTTCTGGATATAACTAATGAGTGGCAGTTCACATGACCTTTGGTTGAACACATGTATACAGTATGTCTAATGCTTCATGCCACTGTCTTTGAATTAGCTTACCAGAGGAAGTACAGAGAACATATACAAGAAGAATATCAAGTAATCGAAAACAGGAAAGCTCTCCTGGGCGAACATGTGAGTTTAACCAAAAGATACACAGAACTGCTTATTGTAAAGGAACATCGAGGGCGGGAGGAGAAAAAACATGAAATCATCACCAGAGGAAGGAGACACGCAGAACTGATGGCTCAACAAACCAGTCTCACTCAGATTAATCTTTTATTTGATTCTGATGGAAATTTACAAAACCCAAGAACTGTTGTGCTGCAAGGAGCTGCTGGGATTGGGAAAACAGTGACAGCGAGAAAGATCATGTTGGACTGGGCAGCTGGAAAACTCTATTGGAAAAAGTTTGATTATGTTTTCTATATAAATTGCAGAGAAATAAATCATATTCTTAAAAATCAAAGCGGTGCCAAAAATCGAAGTGCTGCCGATTTGGTTTTGAACAATTGTCCTGATAGAGAAGGACCAATTAAAGAAATCTTTGAGAAGCCAGAAAAACTCCTGTTTATAATAGATGGTTTTGATGAATTAAATTCCTTGCTAGACATTGATGATGTTAGCCTGTACATGGACCCATTTGAGAAGAGGCCAGTGGAAACCACCCTGTGCAGTTTATTGAGAAAGAAGGTTCTTCAAAAATCTTTTTTGCTGATCACTACGAGACCAACAGCTCTGGAAAAACTAAAGGAGAATCTGAAACTTCCACGTTTTGCAGAGATAATGGGATTTTCTGCAGATGAGAGGAAAGAATATTTTCATAAATTTTTTTGTGATGAAAAGAAAGCAACAGAAGCCTTTAATTTTGTCAAAGAAAATGAAATGCTCTTCACCATGTGCTTTGTCCCCATTGTGTGTTGGATCATCTGCACAGTTCTGAAACAACAAATGGAAAAAAAGGAAGATCTGACACAAACTTCAAAAACAACCACATCAGTATATTTGCTCTTTCTCTCCACCCTGATAACAGATCATATCACTGACACAATAGAACAATCTAAAACTAACCTCTGGGCGCTTTGCTCATTGGCTGCAGATGGAATTTTAGAACGAAAAATACTGTTTGAAGAAGATGACCTAAAGAAACACAATTTATCCTTGTCTAACATTCACTCTCTCTTTCTGAGTAAAAACATTTTTCAGAAGGATACAGAATATGAAAATGTCTACAGCTTTATTCACTTGAGTTTCCAAGAGTTCTTTGCAGCTTTGTTCTATGTGCTGGAGGAAGATGAAGAGATAATGAAAAATTCTCTGTCTTCTAAGAAAGATGTGAAAAGCTTGCTAAAAAATTATGGAATATCTACAAATAATTATTTGATGCTAACAGTGCGTTTCTTGTTTGGTCTCTCAAATAGAGAAAGACTAAATGACACAGAGAAAAAATTACATTGTAAAACATCGTCTGGAATAAGAGATGATTTATTGCAGTGGTTTGAAGAAGAAACTAAAAAAATCTCCTCTCTTTCCTATAAGACCTATGAGGAGCTGCATGACCAGCTTGAATTGTTTCATTGTTTGTATGAGAGTCAGGAAGAAGAC